CAACTCCTACTACTCCCTGTAGTGATCCAGACTACCACAGTATGAATCTGCATCTTGTGATCCTGTTACCATGCCTTCCCTGCTCTGATGGACTAGAAATCCTCTGAAACAGCCAAAAGAAGTGTCTCCTCTCTGATGTTGTTTGAATGGTTTACTTTGTAGAGTGAGAAGTTATTTGTTATGATTATATCTACTTAAAATTATTTATTATTATTATTGTGTTTGTGTGGATATGGGCATGCCTTTGCCATGCTACGTCTGTGAAGTTCAGGGAACGGTTTTAAGGAGTTGGTTTACTCTTTTCATCTTTAGTTCAGAGGATTAAACTTGGTTTTTCAGGTTTGCACATCAAGTGCTTTGCTGGATAAACCCATCTTACTAGTCCTACATGTACTTCTTGACAGAAATGTCACCCTGTCATTTCTCTGGGACATTTAATCCAGGTAGAATATCCCTGGGCAACTCACATCTATGTGTCTGCCAGAAATTGCCTTTGCTGTCTTTTTACAACATTTTATGAAACGTCTTAACCAAAATAACTAGGTCTTTAGTTCAACTGAGTGATATACTTACTGAGAGAAGCTTTGATTTTTTTCTGTTGATTTGATATATTCTTTTTTTTTTTTTTCCGAGACAGGGTTTCTCTGTGTAACTATGGAGCCTATTCTGGAACTCGCTCTATAGACCAGGCTGGCCTCGAACTCACAGAGGTCTGCCTGCTTCTGCTTCCCAAGTGCTGGGATTAAAGGCGTGCACCACCAACACCAGGCAATTTGATATATTCTTTTAAAACTTTTGTGTGTGAATGTTTGTGTGCATATATGTCTGTATACCACGTGTGTCCTTGGTGCCTAAACAGGCCAGAAGAGGGTCTCTCCTACTCCTCTTCAGATCCCCTGGAACTGGAATTACAGACAGTTGTGAGCCCCTAGGTGGGTTCTGGGAACAGAATCTGTGCCCTCCCTCCATTTGAGCAGCTAGTGCTTTTAGCTGCTGAGCCATCTTTCCAGCCCCAAATTGATAAATTCTTAACTACAAGATAAGGACCTTTGTAGTATAGCCCCTCTTTGATTCTAAAAGCACTTGAGAATATAGCAGTATATTAGAGTCATTCATTTTTCCTAGACAGTATTCAGAGATGTGTCTGTCCTGGTACTAGGTATTCATGCTGAAAATAATTTTTGTGAATAAAATTTTGAGTCTTTGTTCTAAGTGTCAGTTGAAATGAACAGGGTAATTTCATTTGCTCATCTGTAGTTAATAAATTTTTAGTAATAGTAATTATGAACTTTTGTAAGGAAAATGATTAAAATACCAACCAGATATAAATATATTAATCCACAAAATAGTTTTATTATGTTTAAAGTTAGGACTAACTGCACATAATACTTAGTTATAATTGATAATGCTTTTCCAAATGTTCGAAAAGTAGCTCAGGGTTTCCCCTTTTTCTGCCTATTATTTGTGGTGTTAACAGAAGAAAAAAGTTAAAACATTTTTATGTATCTATGTGTATGATGTGTGTATGTATGTTTGCATGTGGTGTTTGTTTGTATGTGTGTATGCATGTGTGTAGAGGCTGAGGGTGACATCAAGGGTCTTCCTTAATTTGATGCAGGGCTTTCAGTTGAATTCAAAGCTCACTTGTATGACTAGTCTAGTTAGTCAGCATGCTCCTATAATCCCTTATTTCTGCCTTCCCAGCTCTGGAATTACAGGTAAGCTGCCAGGTTTACCTGGCATTTACATGACTTCCAGTTTTCACTTATGTGGGATAAGCAGTTTATCCACTGAGCCATCTCTCAGCCTTAAACCATTTCATTTTTAATTTCTTTGAACTTCTTTTTTTTTAAGCCAGGCAATTTTAATCCAAGCACTTGGGAGGCAGAGGCAGGTGGATCTCTGTGGGTTTCACTGACTACATAGCAAATTCCTGGACATTCAGGACTACATAGTGATACCCTGTCTCAATACCTTCCCCTCTAAAGATTTTCTTACATAATATTTTTTGTTTATTTTATATGTCAGTCTTTTGCCTTTGTGTATGTGTGAGTAAAACAGGTGTGCTTTGGTGCTTGCAGAGGTTAGATGGTATCAGATCCCCTGGAACTGGAGTTACAGATGGTTGTGAATCACTATGTAGCTGCTGGGAACTGAACCTGGGAACTCTGCAAGAGCAACAAGTGCACTTAACCACTGGACCCCCTCTAAAACTTTTTTTTTTTTTTTTGGGAGATAGGTTTCTCTGTGGCTTTGGAGGCTGTCCTGGAACTAGCTCTTGTAGACCAGGTTGGTCTCAAACTCACAGAAATCAGCCTGCCTCTGCCTCCCAAGTGCTGGGATTAAAGGCGAGCGCCACCACCGCCTGGCCTCTAAAACATTTTTTTTTTTTTTAAAGATTTTATTTATTATGTATACAGTCTTCTGCCTGCAGGCCAGCAGTGGGCATCAGATCTCATTCAAGGTGGTTGTGAGCCACCAAGTGGTTGCTGGCAATTGAACTCAGGATCTCTGGAAGAACAGTCTGTGCTCTTAACTGCTGAGCCATCTCTCCAGCCCCCCCCAAAAACATTTTTAATTTGACTTTTTCCTTGTGAATTACCAGCCACACACTTGTCATTTCCTGTTTTCTACTATCAAGGCTCAGAAAAGAATGGTCCTGCTGTGTGTCCCAGGCTCATACACCCCTTCCCTTTTATTCAGAGAGACTCCAGGTTAAGGGCTGCTTGTTTTAGTCATATTTTATTTCTTTTTTGAAATTTTGTTGTTCATTTTTGAGATTGTATTTTAATTATAACATTTCTCTCTCCAAATGCTCTCATATATTCCTCCTGCTGTCCAAATTTGTGGCTTCTTATTTTCATTAATTGTTATTACAGGCATATATGTATTTGTATGTACATATATTGGCATTGGACTACCAATTGGGGTGTTCTCCCCTGGGGGCGACTACCTTTCCTCCCAGCTTTACTCAGTTGTAAGGGCAGCTCTTAAGCCCACACAGGAATCCACTAGTCTCTGTCTCTTGAGTGTACCACTGCAGCTTTTCATTGTGATACAGCATCTGACAAAGTTGTCCCAGCTGGCTTGAGCTTGGGATGCCCTCCTCAACCTCTTGTGTTGTTGGGATATGCTGTAAGGGGAAAATATCTTTCATAGTTTAGACACAGAGCAAATTGGGATGCAGATCCCTATGCAGTGATTTCATTTTTCTCTCCAGATGAAATAGCTGAATGGTTTCAGATGAAACAAGTGAACTGTACTCTTACTCCTGCATTAAAATAGCTTAGCTGCTGGGATTTCCTGGGTGCATATCTTTGAGGAGAACTAGATAGAAGCTTTCTGATCCTCAGAGAGCTATCGAGTAAGTGACTGGAAGGTGACTTTGAGGAGTTTTGTATTTCTTTCGAATTAATCTTTTAAGACATTAATACTGCCTAAGTGGTTGTTATAAAAAGTAACTAACTAAAAAGCACGAGTACTTCAGGAATACAGGTTTAGATGTGTTAAATAATAAAAATTCCAAATTTGCTAATAAGTAAATGTCTGCTGAGTTTTGAAGTCAGGGACTGCTGGGTTAAGAAAATACAGTTTTGGAATAGGTGATACTTAGTAAAAACAGTTTCAAAAGGCAGGGTGTTTACCTTGTGCAGCCACCAGAGTCCCTTTGGCATTTCCAGGTATCTACTTTTTGTATGTTTGCCTGTCTGTCTGTCTGTTTTGATACAAGGCCTTTCTGTATCCCTGGCTGTCCTGGAACTCACTGTGTAGACCAGGCTGGACTGGAATTCAGAGATCTGCCTGCTTCTACTTCCCAAGTGCTGGGACAAAAAGTGTGTGTCATCATTCCTGGCAGGTGTCAAGTTTTTAAAAATTTACTTTATTATTAGTTTGTGTGTTTGTACATGTGTGCAAGCTGCCCCAAAGCATGTGTGGAGGGAAGTCAGAAGACATCTTTTGGAAGCTGGTTCTCTTCATAGGCTCCAGGAACCAAAAACAGGTTGTCAGGCTTTCTCCTACTGAGCCATCTCCCCCAGTGTCAAGTGTTTGTAACCTATCCTATGTAATAGCAGTAGCTGTCAAGAACTCTCATTATTCTATTTTTACAAGTATGGATACAAAGACATCTCAGTCTCTTAGTAACTTATAATTATAGTGTACTTCCTCTGCCCTACCTACTTACTGACTTTTTTTTTTTAAAGATTTTATTTATTTATTATGTATACAACATTCTGCTTCCATGTATATCTGCACATCAGAAGAGAGCACTAGATCTCATAATGGATGGTTGTGAGCCACCATGTGGTTGCTGGGAATTGAACTCAGGACCTCTGGAAGAGCAGCTCTTAACCTCTGAGCCATCTCTCCAGCCCCGACTTTTTTTTTTTTTTTTTTAACTTGAAAACAAACTTAGAGAGAAGTTGCAAGAATAACCATTCGGGAAGCTGAGCATAAGGAATCCATGCACGTGCACATGCATACACATACACAAAAGAAAGTTTTTAAAAAGAGAGAGAAATGGAATGCATGAGGCCCTGGGTTCAATGCCTAGCACTTCTGTCTGGATGTGGTGGCCCACACCTTCAATCCCAGGAAAACAGAGAACTGGCTTAAAGGTCATTTTGGGCTATATATCGAGTTCCAGGTCAACCAAACTACATGAGACCCCATCTGAAAAAAGGAGTCAGGACGAAGGAGGAAGAAAAATGTAGAAAACAGAATAAAGAACTCCAGAAATTCCGGAGTTCCCACTTGTGGTTTTCATTGTTGTTTTGTTGCAGTTTTAATGTTGACAAAGGAAATAAATTATTACCCACATTATGCATTTTGGGCCAGAATATTGTAGAAAATGGTTGTGTTCTTCCTGATGTGCCTCACATGTGGCACACAGTTTGTTCCATTAAATGGAGAAAGGGAAAAGGAAGAATGGGGATGGAAAGAAAAAACTTCAGTTTGCTTTTTAGAGAGAACCCTATTTAGCAAATGCCATTTCCTTCTAGCATCCTGGTGGGGAAGAGGTTCTGCTGGAACAAGCTGGTGCTGATGCAACTGAAAGCTTTGAAGATGTTGGCCACTCCCCTGATGCCAGGGAAATGCTGAAGCAGTACTACATTGGTGATGTTCATCCGGTAAGAACTGTCGTATAATTCAGTCACTTATGCAGAGAAAACTACTGGGCAGGCATTAAGAAGATGAGAGAATGAAGTAGAGTAGAAATTCATTCAACCTAGCTCTCAGGCCTGGTTTTCTCAAGAATTATCAAGCTCTCTTGTGTAGCCCATAATATCAGAGAAGCCAAGGGAACTAGTTTTTTACTTTTATTAACTGATGTTTATAATACCTGATCCTAAAATAGTGGTTTGGTTATTCTCGAAAAGTTCCTTACTAAAGGTATTAACTATGGACTTGTAAATCCTTTGTGCTTAGCATTCTAATAGGGAATCTTGATAACCTAAAGGGTGGAGCTGGGCCCCTTCTTCAGACCCTAAAGTCTCGGAGGGATAGGAACTAATTAATGCATTCCTACAGTTCATTTAGATCCATCTAACATTGTTCTCTTTCTTTTTTGAAACAGAGTGACCTTAAACCTAAAAAAGGTGGTAACAAGGTAAGAAATCATTAATTTGTCTTTTGTGTTTCAAGTATTTCTTCCCTTTTTTTTGGAGACAAGGTTTCTCTGTATAGTCCTAGCTGTCCTGGAACTCACTCTGTAGACCAGGCTGGCCTTGAACTCACAGAGATCCACGTGCCTCTGCTTCCCAGGTGGGATTAAAGGCATGCATCACAAGTGCCTGGCTTTTAGAAATAATTTTAATAAGAGACATGAAAATGGGCTGTAGAGATGGTTCAGTGGTTAAGAGCACTGGTTGTTCTTCCAGAGGACCTGGGTTCAATTCCCAGCAACCACATGGTATTGTTCATAACTGTCTATAACTCCAGTCCCAGGGGATCCAATGTCCTCTTCTGACTTCTGCTGACATTGTATGCACATAATGCACAAATGATATTCATGTAGGCAGAACACTTATACACATAAAATAAAAATAAAGACTTAAAACAAGGAGAGAGCCCTAATATGGTGGTGCATGCTTTTAATCCTAGCACCCCAGAGGCAGAGGCAAAGGCAGAGGCAGATGTATCTCTCTGAGTTCGAGTTTACTTTTATCCAAACTAAAATTCTATTTTTAGGGAATTTGGATTTTATACCTGTCAGGACAAAAGAATAGCTAAATCTTAAACAAAAGAAAGCATTTTAACAATTTGTGAGCCTAGCCTTTAATGGCTGAGCCGTCTCCTCAGCCCAGTAAGAAGCATTTTGTTAATGCTTTGTATGCTTTTTTATTGAGATTCCAAAGTATGTTTATTGTAGTTTTGAAAGAAATTAAGTTACGGGTTCAGTTTAGGAAAAATCTTATCATTACTTATATAAAACAGATGATAAATGTTCAGATTAAATTTTTTCCTACAAGATATATTCTTTATCTGTAAAATAGAAGCCTTTCTTTCTGTCCGTATTTCCCCAAATGAATTTTTTAAAACCTTATGCTCAAATTGTCCCACACCCTTCCCAGTTTGCTCACTGATGCAGCCAAAACAAAAGATTCAGTATTTGAGTATTTAGAAACCTTAGTGTGCTTTGCCTTATGTACCAAGAAGAAAGCTTGAAAGCCTTTTCTAATTTCCACAAGCAGGGTGGTGTCATCACCCATGTTCTCTTACAGATTCCTTCGACTTCTGTCCTTTATAAGGTTATTACACTACCCTATGACCTCAAGGGATAGCAGTCTAGGTGTTTCCTTGCTCATTGTGCACACAACAGAGACTCACTCCTTCCTCCTTCTAGATCCTCATTCTTCATTGAGCCAGGAAATAATGAACAGGTTTGGCACAGCAATTCAAACTGGCCTTGGCACAAGAATTCTTTCAATTCAAGAGATTGCTTGCTTGGCAGTATCTGCCTTCTGTTGCCCTGAAATCCAGAGTGTTTATATAAATTAACTCCTCTGTCTTGCTCCTCTATTGCTGTGAACTGTTAAATTGTGAAAGGCAGATGAAATGATTCTTTAAACATTTGTAAGCACTTTTGGCTGGTTTTTGTCTTTCCTTCCTCACACCTTACCCATTCTTGACTCCTCTTGTGACATTAAGGTAAAATTTGAGCTAATCATGGCCTTAATTGAACATGTTCCAAAATGCTGCTTTCAGAGTTCATTTCATGCAAAGGATACTATAATTTTCTATAAGGGACACACCTTAAATTTAGGAGTCTTCACTCAGTTCTTCACAGCAATTATGAAAGCACTCTTTATGTTAAAACAATAGAAATATATTTTTATAGTTATCCTGTCTACAAATTTATCAAGTGTTTTTTTTTGTTGTTTTGTTTTGTTTTGTTTTTTTAAAAAAATACCAATTGGTTTATTAGATTAAAAACAGTGGTCAAATGGACACAACGCCAGTTAGAGCAGGACATCTTCACATCCTCCCCCTACTTCATCTTCATTAAAGGTTTCAGAGAGCCAGGCCCTCCTTCCTCCCCTTCACTGTTCACCTGCCATAGAAGCAAGAACTGCAGTAGAGGAACCCAGGAAGAAATCAGAGGTGACTCTAGTACTGTCAAAAATCTCATCCCTAAAAGTCTCTGAGTTGGAAGCAGGGAGGGAACAAATACAGGACCATAGGGGCTCATTACCCATCATGTTCCAGAGACCTTTGTCCTTGTCTCATCCCTAATAGGGACCATCAGGCTATGAGAGTTTGAGGAAAGGGTGTAGATGATTCTACAACCACATGTGGTTTCCAAACCCTTCACCAGAGTTTGTAAAAGCCCTGGAGGTACCCAGTTCAGGACTGGGTGACCCATACTTTCCTTCCCACCCAAGGGATGAAAAGGAATTCCTGGGGACACAACATCCATGCTGTTCTTAAATCTCCACATCACTTTCTTTGTCATTATCATGGTCTCCTTCATAGAATTCATTGGGTGCCTCTGGTGTAGAACTCTGCTGTAGTTCTCCTCAGGACCTCGCTCTTCTGCATCAGCCTCATCAGTCCTGTCATATGTCAGGAGGTCTGCAGGGACATCATGAATCTGGACACTAGGTGCATGGTTTAGCATCTTCAAGTTTTCAAAGATTGTCTGGCGTATCTGGACCAGATACTGGCGTGAGTTCTGATTCTCGATTCAGGTGCTGACATCTGGATGGAGCGTGAAGTCTGGAGCAAAGTACTCGAAGTATTCACTATAGGGAAGTTCCTCACTAATGGCCTCTTCTACCAGCAGAGATGTCTCGTATGTCCAGCACCGGGCAACGTTTCGGACAGTGTAGCCACCACCACCCAGCACCAGGAGCGGATATTAAAGCTCTTGACGTATTTAACACATTCCCCATGTCCTCATATGCTGAGATTAAAACAGCCTAATCGATCACAGCCTAGGGAGTCAGCTCCACACTGAAGCACGATGCATGTAGGTTGGTAGAAGTCCACCACCTGGCTGATGACTGGCTGGAAGAGGTGCTTGTAACTCTGGTCATCGATGCCATCCCATAAGGGCACATTGAGACAATGGTAGCAGCCACTCTCTGCTCCAGCTTCATACATGTCACCATGTGGAGGCGGAAACTTGATGCAAACAGCAAGAGGCTTTATTGTAGTTGTTTAACGAGCTAACTCCATGTTAGCTTGGGCCTTTCATCCATCCACCATGGCGGATGGCTAGAAAGACCTTATCAAGTGTTTCTTGTTGCTGGTTTTCTTTCTTGATAATACAGGAGGCAGTTAGGAACATTTCTGGAGAATGCACAGTAGTGTTTCAGAAATTCTCTTCCTTGCATCAACTTAAATTGGGATCCCCTGGAATGAACTTGAAAATACAAATCAAGTATTCATTTCCTGGGCTTTCATTATTCCTGTTCAGAATCTCTTGAGTTGAGCTGGGTTTGTATTTTGACTAGCCTAGGTGATAGGAAGGAAGCCGAGCATGACACTTTCTGCTGAATGCTGTGCCTTTCATTGCGTTTGAGAAGAGATTGATTAGCTGACATAAAACTGATAGGCCTTGATTCCCCTGCCATGCAAGATGTATAGAAAAAAGTCTCCTCAACTCACCAAATGGTATGGTAATTTAGAACTGCAAATGTAGTGTGGCCTCATCCTAGATTAGGGAGGGACTGAAAGCAGTGCTTTCAAGCTTGTTTTTCTCTAGCTCCTTGTTCCCGAGAGACCTGTCTCCATTAGGATGGTTCTGGCTCTTGTTTGTTTCCAGTCAGGCTGTCTGTTACTTTCAGGCAGATTAGGCCTGAAAGCCTTTTGGAAAAATTTCAAGACTACCTACCAGGTTTTCATAGAATTATATTCCAAACTGATTCCTTTTCCAGGAAGAAATTCTTGATCACTCAGGTTTATTTCTATGGTTGATGTTAGCCAAAGGCTGAGTGATCTGGTTTCTCACAGCAGTTGAAATAGACACTTCCATCCTAGGATATGGTATCTTTTTCCTTCACTTCTTTATCTGTGGTTAAACTTCACTGTCAAGAAGTAGGAGGGCAGCTCCTTTTATTAACTACTTTCCTTTCTTGTAGTTCAGGGTTTCTGAATCTGTAAGAAATGATTTTTTTTTAAGCTTCATTAAGCAGAGCCTTCAGCTTTATAGGGTAGAGTTTTAGTTTTCATTCTCATTTTCCTTCTGTTGCATCATTTCTCTTCCACCTTCATAAAGCCTCTACAGTCTTTCCATGGAAGTGTGGGGGAACAAAAACAAAAAACAAAACAAAAAACACTAAGTGTCTCTATTTGGGAGTAGAAGTCAGTTTCCATTCCCACTTCTTCATTGTTTGCTTGTTAGCCAGAGTTGGTCATATCCGCTAAGGATATCCTTCAACTTCTGATTCTCCTGCTATCACTTCTGAAGTCCAGAATTTACAAGCATGGGCCACTGTGCCCAGTCTTCATTTCCCAATTCTTATAGAAATAGCTTTTTTGTTACTTTTACTATACCACAGGTAAATAAGTGATCATGGTCACCATTGTTTTGTCATTGATTGATAATACCCTAGTTGATGGCCTGGATATACTACAATATAAAGATTTTAAAGATTTGTAATTTATAAATCTGACAACAGATATCATTGTTTTTGTTTTTGAGACAGGTCTTACTGTAGCCTTGGCTGTCCTGGAACTCAAAGAGATCTGCCTGCCTCTGCTTCCCTATTCTGAAATAAAAGGTGTGCCATGATGCCTGGCTTTAGTCAGTAATAACTAATTAGAATTAAAAAAAAAAAAAACATTTTTCAGTGGTGATGCTTGCCTTTAATCCTAGCACCGGAAGGCATAGGCAGGCAGATCTCTGTGAGTTTAAGGACAGCCTGGGCTACAAAGTGAGTTCCAGGGCAGCTAGGGCTACACAGAGAAACCCTGTCTTGAAAAACAACAACAAAAAATTATCCTTTGGGGTATGTTGATGCTAAAGGTTACATGGTGAGACTCTTGTCTTCAAAAATAAAAAGTAGTAAAAAGAGAATACCTTGTACTTGATAGTTGGGGTTAAGAGAGTCACTATGCTAAAACCTCTTTAGCCACAAGGCAGGTTTGGGCTACAGGAGAACC